ACCATCACAAACGGCAGAGTCACAGTCAAACACACATCTCACTCACCAACAATCAACAAACAAATCCAATTCATAAAACCAACACACTCACTCATTCACTCTCTCTCTCCCTCGCTCTATCTCTCTCTCTCTCGACTTCACACTCGCTATCACACACAACACACAACCATACCCGTACTCATCAAACCAATACAATACACATACCCCACTCAACCTCAGTAACCAACCACATCTACAACTAACAACACCACACACACATTCCACTATACAGATAAATACATTTGGATTATTCTTTATTCAATATACATCTACTCACCTCACTTCGAGAATATCACTCCCCACCACAACGCTCCTCCAACGACGCCATCAGCCAGCCAGCCACCCAGCCAACAAACCAACTCTCCAGTCAATCGACACAACACAACATATCTTAATAAACACAACTTCACCAAATAACACGGGACACATTACAACAACCTTCCGAAACTCCTCGCTTCCTGGAAAAAACAAAACAAAATACACGACAAGACAACGCCGATTATTAACATTACGCCGAAACATACACCTATCATTCTCAAACCAATTATCATTATCATTAACATTAACATTACTATTACTGTTATCATTCCTCTTCTTATTCTTCGTATTCTTGTTCAGATATAACCAGAATGTATCTACATAAAGCAGTATTCTGACAGCCAAGGGAAATCATCATCACTATTATTACCACCATCTAACTAACTCCTACTCATGCTACTATCCACATCAACTCTAACTCTAACTCAAACTACTACATACTAATACACCACCATCACCACCACCACCACCAACAACAACAACAACAACAACAACAACAACACGCCTATCACACACTTACTAACACAAACAAACATCACATACACACCAGACACACAATACACCAACCAATCACTCACTCACTCACTCATTCACTCAAACTGCATACACATATACATATACATATTCATCATATACCAAGTCATGGCGATACATCCACTACAACAATGGAATGTATCATGGCGCACTTGCATTCCATTTCAGAGGGACTTACACAATGAACACATTCAACCTGTTCACTGAGATTTTCACCTCTAACACAACATCACTAAACTCAAACAACACACAACACAACACATCACATCACATCATGTCGCGTCTCGTCACGTCACGTCACGTCACGTCAAATCACATCACATCACACAAACACACCCACGATCAAACACAAATAAACCGTCAACTCATCATTTCAACATCAGTCAGATTCTACTCACACATACACTACACTACTCAACACATTACTCAACAAACAACAACAACAACAACGTCAAAACTCACAACACCTATCACCACTGCATCAAATCATCTCATATCACATCACAGTCAATACACACATACACACACACACACTATAACACAAACACTCCCCCCCCCCAACCAACACACAGACACACATATAACCATAACACAAACAAACAAACAACCACCACAACAACAAAAACAACAACAACATCTACTACTACTATTACCACACCTCACAATGTCCCTCCACAGCGAAACCATCACCATCGCCATGGAGTCAGTGAATATCAATTTCAGAGGCTCTTGCACGGGACACAACAATACATATCATGCACCGGAATAAACACCTCTACGGAAATCACACACACATTATATACACACACATACATATATATATATATAAACCTCACATCAACACAACTCAAACACAAAAATCACTACAACCATCCATCATCACCATCACTAACGCAGAGTCACAGTCAAAACACAACATCTCACTCACCAACAATCAACAAACAAATCCAATTCATAAAACCAACACACTCACTCATTCACTCTCTCCCTCTCCCTCGCTCTATCTCTCTCTCTCTCTCGACTTCACACTCGCTATCACACAAACACACAACCATACCCGTACTCATCAAACCAATACAATACACATACCCCACTCAACCTCAGTAACCAACCACATCTACAACTAACAACACCACACACACATTCCACTATACAGATAAATACATTTGGATTATTCTTTATTCAATATACATCTACTCACCTCACTTCGAGAATATCACTCCCCACCACAACGCTCCTCCAACGACGCCATCAGCCAGCCAGCAACCCAGCCAACAAACCAACTCTCCAGTCAATCGACACAACACAACATATCTTAATAAACACAACTTCACCAAATAACACGGGACACATTACAACAACCTTCCGAAACTCCTCGCTTCCTGGAAAAAACAAAACAAAATACACGACAAGACAACGCCGATTATTAACATTACGCCGAAACATACACCTATCATTCTCAAACCAATTATCATTATCATTAACATTAACATTACTATTACTGTTATCATTCCTCTTCTTATTCTTCGTATTCTTGTTCAGATATAACCAGAATGTATCTACATAAAGCAGTATTCTGACAGCCAAGGGAAATCATCATCACTATTATTACCACCATCTAACTAACTCCTACTCATGCTACTATCCACATCAACTCTAACTCTAACTCAAACTACTACATACTAATACACCACCATCACCACCACCACCACCAACAACAACAACAACAACAACACGCCTATCACACACTTACTAACACAAACAAACACCACATACACACCAGACACACAATACACCAACCAATCACTCACTCACTCACTCATTCACTCAAACTGCATACACATATACAATACATATTCATCATATACCAAGTCATGGCGATACATCCACTACAACAATGGAATGTATCATGGCGCACTTGCATTCCATTTCAGAGGGACTTACACAATGAACACATTCAACCTGTTCACTGAGATTTTCACCTCTAACACAACATCACTAAACTCAAACAACACACAACACAACACATCACATCACATCATGTCGCGTCACGTCACGTCACGTCACGTCAAATCACATCACATCACACAAACACACCCACGATCAAACACAAATAAACCGTCAACTCATCATTTCAACATCAGTCAGATTCTACTCACACATACACTACACTACTCAACACATTACTCAACAAACAACAACAACAACAACGTCAAAACTCACAACACCTATCACCACTGCATCAAATCATCTCATATCACATCACAGTCAATGCACACATACACAGACACACACTATAACACAAACACTCCCCCCCCCAACAAACACACAGACACACATATAACCATAACACAAACAAACAAACAACCACCACAACAACAAAAACAACAACAACATCTACTACTACTATTACCACACCTCACAATGTCCCTCCACAGCGAAACCATCACCATCGTCATGGAGTCAGTGAATATCAATTTTAGAGGCTCTTGCACGGGACACAACAATACATATCATGCACCGGAATAAACACCTCTACGGAAATCACACACACATTATATATATATATATATATAACACCTCACATCAACACAACTCAAACACAAAAATCACTACAACCATCCATCATCACCATCACTAACGCAGAGTCACAGTCAAAACACAACATCTCACTCACCAACAATCAACAAACAAATCCAATTCATAAAACCAACACACTCACTCATTCACTCTCTCCCTCTCCCTCGCTCTATCTCTCTCTCTCTCTCGACTTCACACTCGCTATCACACAAACACACAACCATACCCGTACTCATCAAACCAATACAATACACATACCCCACTCAACCTCAGTAACCAACCACATCTACAACTAACAACACCACACACACATTCCACTATACAGATAAATACATTTGGATTATTCTTTATTCAATATACATCTACTCACCTCACTTCGAGAATATCAATCCCCACCACAACGCTCCTCCAACGACGCCATCAGCCAGCCAGCAACCCAGCCAACAAACCAACTCTCCAGTCAATCGACACAACACAACATATCTTAATAAACACAACTTCACCAAATAACACGGGACACATTACAACAACCTTCCGAAACTCCTCGCTTCCTGGAAAAAACAAAACAAAATACACGACAAGACAACGCCGATTATTAACATTACGCCGAAACATACACCTATCATTCTCAAACCAATTATCATTATCATTAACATTAACATTACTATTACTGTTATCATTCCTCTTCTTATTCTTCGTATTCTTGTTCAGATATAACCAGAATGTATCTACATAAAGCAGTATTCTGACAGCCAAGGGAAATCATCATCACTATTATTACCACCATCTAACTAACTCCTACTCATGCTACTATCCACATCAACTCTAACTCTAACTCAAACTACTACATACTAATACACCACCATCACCACCACCACCACCAACAACAACAACAACAACAACACGCCTATCACACACTTACTAACACAAACAAACATCACATACACACCAGACACACAATACACCAACCAATCACTCACTCACTCGCTCATTCACTCAAACTGCATACACATATACATATACATATTCATCATATACCAAGTCATGGCGATACATCCACTACAACAATGGAATGTATCATGGCGGACTTGCATTCCATTTCAGAGGGACTTACACAATGAACACATTCAACCTGTTCACTGAGATTTTCACCTCTAACACAACATCACTAAACTCAAACAACACACAACACAACACATCACATCACATCATGTCGCGTCACGTCACGTCACGTCACGTCAAATCACATCACATCACACAAACACACCCACGATCAAATACAAATAAACCGTCAACTCATCATTTCAACATCAGTCAGATTCTACTCACACATACACTACACTACTCAACACATTACTCAACAAACAGCGAGAACAGGTCACACCACCTATCACCACTGCATCAAATCACATCACACTCAATACACACACACAATAACAAATACACTCCACCCACATACGCACACACAAATACCCCCAACACATACAAACACATATACAGCAACAACCACTACTAGTATGGTTGGCAGTACGAACCTTTCCTCATCTTTGTTTGTTTTCTGTATCTTTATGGCTTTCGGCGTTAGCTGCAGTAGTTTGAGATACCGGGAAGTAATATATAGCACTGTTTCCAGGTAACTGACGTAGGTTGAGAATTTTCAGCAACGCTTGATTGGGTGCACAATGTAGGTCGAAGCCGCCGTCCAGTATGCACCAGGTTTTGCCAGAGGGATTCGTGCTACGTAAACGAGCATTGTCGGTTAGTGTGTAGGCTTCATCTGGGAGTTAGTTGAGGATGTGTAATGGTGACCCTATGGGTCTAGTTGGAGAAACGGTTGCATTCCTTTCTACTACACTTCGTAGTATGAGTTGAGTTCAAAGACTGGAGGTTGACGAACACCAGGCACACTGGTAATACACAGTATGTCCGCATTCCTCTAGAAAAAGCTTGGGGGATTCACCATCATTTTTGAAGAGTTAGGCACCTCCAACACCATATCTGTAAAAAATGAGCAACAATCACACCAGGAATAGAAGCACAACGAGAGCTCTGTAAGAGCGTGTATTTGGTACAATGGCAGAAATCAAACCTGACTATTGAATATGATACAATCAAAGAAGATCAAGAAGAAGCAGAAGCAGTGGCAGACTACTTCTCCCAAGTCTTCTTTCAGGAGTCATCACTCCCTATAGGATCAGCTCTGGCTGCATCAGAGGCATACGGGACAGATTCCGTTGACATCGACCAAGGCATCGTGCTCAACCGCCTAATAAAACTAGATGCAGGGAAATCAATAGGTCCTTATAATCATCCAAGGTTTCTCAAGGAGCTGTCAGCTCACATAGCCGGCCCTTTGACCACGATCTTCAAGCCATCTCTCCTAAATGGAAATTTACCGCGTGACTGGGAAGACGCCATAGTAACCCCCATCCACAAAGGAGGATCAAGACAAAGCCCTTCAACTACAGGCCTATCAGTCTCACCAGCACTTTAATCAAGACACTGGAAAGAATCATTAAGAAAAGCATCATGGCATATCTGGAAAACAGCAGTTTGTTATCTAGAGCACAGCATGGCTTCCGAAGGAACCTCTCATGCCTGTCAAATGTCTTCATGAAGTTGGAAAGTCTTGGTATCAGAGGCAGATTACTAAACTGGCTCAGGGAATTCCTCATAGAGAGGAGGCGTAGGGTTAGGATCAACTCGAAACTCTCCTCTTGGATAGCAGTAGGTTGCGGAGCGCGACAAGGCGCGGTATTTGGACCACTCCTATTTGATCTGTATATCAATGAGTCTTCTTTGCTCATCGACACCCCTATGGTCCTATATGCAGATGACTCAAAATTTTGGAGAGAGCTTAAAGGGCAACAGTGATACGTCCACGTTGCAAGAATCTGGAAATCTTCCATTGTCACTCAGCATCAACAACAAAATTCGGTAGGATTTTCAATACAAACGTCAAGTCAGTCAGTTCTCCTATATGGATGAGAAACTTGGTAAGTGGGTCACAAAGAATATTTCCAATAGCCTGTTGCAGACCTTTATCAACCAACAACTGTCTTCGCTGGCTCTATACTGAAGATAAGATGGCCGGGCCGGAAAGTTTGTCTGTCTCTGTCTGGATTCAACATAGAACTTGACACCGAAGTGCAGCAGTTCGAGTTGCCACGTTCCAAATAGCACACAGAGGTAGATAAGATGAGTGAAGAGAATCAATAGAGTTTGACAAGTATAAGAGTGAAACAGAATGGGTAATGGTAGAAAGGAATATGAAAGATTACAGAGACTGAATACATCTGCACTGGCCATTGACAACGATTTTGAGCCATGTCGCCTACTGTCTCCAGCCATTGATTCCTAGAGTCCCGAGGGCCCCAACCCGGAAGTCTGCATCTCTCTACCTGACCGACTCAGTTTAACTGTCAAGGATTTCATGGATTGATGAGGCCATGTTTTTGTTTGGCCACCACTTGCCCTTTTCCAACCTGCACCTATATCAGCTAGCAATGCCCGTCGGGGGAGGCGATGGTTAGGCATGCGCAGCACGTGACCTAGCCATCTCAGTCTATGTAACTTTATAGCCTCGTCGATTGATTTTCCGGAAAGAATCACCAACAAGAAACTATGGGCACAAACAAACAAAAACCAATCGCCCAACTAAAAAATATGCAGGAGGAAGTGGAGATGAATTGGACACTCACTGAGTGAGGAGACCGCCGCTGGGTGACGTCGCGCGCGCGCCAGGCCATTGCTTGAGTGGAACCAGGCCGAAGGGGAAGCTGCGAGTGGATCGTCAGTGCAAGGGTGACATGGAGGAGATCGTGTGAAGAGGAGTTGAAACAGTATGGACTAACATGTATGCAGGTGAAAAGTACAGCAGAAGACAGAAGCAAGTGGAGACGTGCAGTTGAAGCCCTATGTTCCACTAGGAACCCAAGGGAACAATAATAATAGACGAGAAGACTGTTAAATTGTTTTGCAAAATGAAAACATCGCCCTAAGAATACTAACTATAATTTAGCTAGTGAAGACCAATTTCACACCGCTGCATATATTAATATAAGATACTGTACGGAAACAACAACACTAGCACCTAATATGATATTGTGACTCTAAGTATTCTGTAGACATTGCTATTCTCAAATTATAGTGACACGAAAACTGAACTCCCTAGTTTGCTAATGAAATGTCGACTTGGTAGCAATGCACTTGAACAAAATTACTGCGTAAGGCCAAGTATTTCCAGTTAGATGCTAGTAGTCATGCAGTACTCATATCCACTTAGCAGAAACATTTCTCATGTCATTACCTGACGTCATCCACCGCTGACAATAGTGATAACACAGTTGCACAGTTAAGAAGTGTCAACATTAACTGTGCAATTTAAACAGAATTTGTCACTCTGTCACATCCACGATACACAAAACTCTCGTGACTAATGCCATTACCTCCGAAATATTTTCCTTCTTAAATAAGCTGTCCCACCTAATTCTGTGGCATTATTTAGCACTTATGTGCTATATATATATATATATATATATATATATATATAATCACTCACTTGATAGTTTTTCGAATATTCTTCAATAAGGCTACCCACAAAACGCAACTCAGCATTAAGATCTGATGAAATCTCCTTGATGATCCTTCTTCTATATTCCCAAGCCGTGTAGTTGGCAGGATTCATCAATAAAATCTCCGACGTTAAAGAAAACGTTCTCTCGCTAAGTTCATTTTTTAACAAAACTGCACGGAAATAATCATGTGCGTCAACAAATTCTTCTGAATATGCTATATTTACAATGTGCCGACCATTATCATCTTGAGGTACAGGAGTAATGTCATTCCATTCTTTTCTGTCTCTATAAAACAGATGCTTCCCACAAGTACTCATTAACACCAATAGTGTAAGTAGAAAACTCAGGGGCAACTAAAAAGTTTCATTCAAAACAAAGAACGAAATCAATAACAAGTACATCCAATAAGAAAAAATCTCAAAAATATGCAAGTAGCTCATGATTATTAGTTGAAATAATAATAATAATAATAATAATAATAATAATAATAATAATAATGCAACCAACCTACCCGTCATACACTGGACTATATTATACTTTACAACAGGATAGACATAAATAACGTCGAAGTCATCTGAAGCCCCCTGTATGTGCTGTTTTGAAGTGCAACACACCAATATGGAGGCAATTCTGTACTTGTAATATAACAAATATAACTTGACTGGAGCTGATATAAACGGTTTATGTTACTTTAAAACAACCCAGCAAGACATTCCAAGTGATAACTGATAACTTTTATGTGGTGTTCAGACCCGCGTATCGCAAGGATCCAAAAAACTTTGTTGGCTTAGACTCCAGGAAGTTTAGCTGGATAACAGTGAGTGTAAAAACAGTAACTATTTCAGTGTAAGACTATGCAATGTCTACAGAATACTTAGAGTCACAATATCATATTAGGTGCTAGTGTTGTTGTTTCCGTACAGTATCTTATATTAATATATGCAGCGGTGTGAAATTGGTCTTCACTAGCTAAATTATAGTTAGTATTCTTAGGGCGATGTTTTCATTTTGCAAAACAATTTAACAGTCTTCTCGTCTATTATTATTGTTCCCTTGGGTTCCTAGTGGAACATAGGGCTTCAACTGCACGTCTCCACTTGCTTCTGTCTTCTGCTGTACTTTTCACCTGCATACATGTTAGTCCATACTGTTTCAACTCCTCTTCACACGATCTCCTCCATGTCACCCTTGCACTGACGATCCACTCGCAGCTTCCCCTTCGGCCTGGTTCCACTCAAGCAATGGCCTGGCGCGCGCGCGACGTCACCCAGCGGCGGTCTCCTCACTCAGTGAGTGTCCAATTCATCTCCACTTCCTCCTGCATATTTTTTAGTTGGGCGATTGGTTTTTGTTTGTTTGTGCCCATAGTTTCTTGTTGGTGATTCTTTCCGGAAAATCAATCGACGAGGCTATAAAGTTACATAGACTGAGATGGCTAGGTCACGTGCTGCGCATGCCTAACCACCGCCTCCCCCGACGGGCATTGCTAGCTGATATAGGTGCAGGTTGGAAAAGAGCCAGTGGTGGCCAAACAAAAACATGGCCTCATCAATCCATGAAATCCTTGACAGTTAAACTGAGTCGTCAGGTAGAGAGATGCAGACTTCCGGGTTGGGGCCCTCGGGACTCTAGGAATCAATGGCTGGAGACAGTAGGCGACATGGCTCAAAATCGTTGTCAATGGCCAGTGCAGATGTATTCAGTCTCTGTAATCTTTCATATTCCTTTCTACAATTACCCATTCTGTTTCACTCTTATATTTGTCAAACTCTATTGATTCTCTTCACTCATCTTCTTGTCTACCTTGTGTGCCAATTGGAACGTGGCAACTCGAACTGCTGCACTTCGGTGTCAAGTTCTATGTTGAATCCAGACAGACAGACTTTAGCTTCCCTTTTACTGTTTATTTTCATGAAACAGAAATTTATTAAATGGTCGTGCGATTAAAACCTTAATTTACGGATGCCTGTGTTAACGAGAGCTGACTGAGAAACTGAGCAATAATTCAGTGGCGAAAAATCAAAAAAAAAACGACAAACAGTAACATGTATGGCGATTCGAAAGAGATAATCCTCATGCATTATACCTACTAAATTTTGTGTATTACACCATGTGTCTCATTTTCTCATGATTATCTTGTCACCAATGCTAATGATATATATATATATATATATATATATATATATATACGCTGAAGCAACGTAGTCAAACGATATCTGTCCAGTCATGTTCGGATGATTCCAAAAGTAAGACCTACTCCATTATTATTGATCTGGTGTTTGGCTCTTCAAACCCATCACTTGAAGAAACAATAAATTATTATTAGCTGAGGATGCTCTTTACGCTAAATATATTGAAGGTACAGTTAGTAGTAGTCTTCTTTGGAAATTAGTTAGGTGGAAAATTTTGGCGGTCATAATCGAAGTGGTGGACATAGAGGGTGATTCCAGGCAAGTGATGCAAGTGAGTTATACGACCCAAAAAAATCACCTATTCCGATCACCAGCAGCCATAGGAATGCACCTAATGAAATCGCTCCACAGCTTTGAGAGTCAGACGTCGTCAAAAGTTTGGGGACTGACCCCTTAAAAAACCACCTACTTCGGTTTGAGAGCTCGGGTAGTATCTGAAACACTAAACAAGAAATTGGTTGAAAACTCAACTTGCCTGTACGCTTTCGAGAATTACTTTACAAGTCGTATATTCAGTCACTTAATCAACTATCACAAAATTTTTTATTCCTATGTATGAACCATTGTTTACTAAATTAGCTTTACTTCTTAAAAATCGGTATCCTTATCATTTCGAGTTGCTGGTCGGTTACGTTCACAGAGCTGAGTTCCTTTGAGATATTTGGCACAGCAATTCTGAAACCACGTGTTGAGCCCAAGGTTGCAACATACAGTGTTCATATACTGTTGCAAATCGGATAGTAGACATGTCTAGCAGGAATCTTGTAAAGCCTCACTGTCAACGTATTTCAAATCCTAATGAGATGCTTCGAATAGCTGCAGGTTTTAGTGTGGCTATACTATAGCAGCCCAAAACGAAACTACCTCTAGCGACCAATCAGATGCGTCAGAAGTAGAAGTGCGTAATTTCGAAAAAGCGTCTATATACAACTAATGCAATGTTAAAAATGGTTACGTAGGATAATCTTGTATTTGTTCAAAGAAAACCTCCCAATTTCTCACAAGTCCTCATAGACAGGTTAAACCACTTTCTGTTAATAAATTCGTCAAGATTATTCCCACTGAAGGGCAACAGTGACACATCCACGTTGCAAGAGGACCACAACAAATTGTCAGAGTGGTCCATAGAATGGATGCTCCCGATCAGTGTGGCAAAATGTACAACCATGCACATCGGACAAGCAAGCACTAGCGCCTACGAACTAGAGGGAATAACACTTCCATCAGTTCAGACTCACTTGAACTTAGGTGTTATAGTTAGCCACGATTTAAAAACTACAGCACACTGTCGCGCGGTGGCTGCACGCAGTTTCAGGTCCTTATGGGCAATTCGAAGAGCCTTTAATAGATTCACCAGAGATGTTCACCTCCTTATATACATCTCTGGTGAGGTCAAGACTGGGAAACTGTATCCAGGCACCCAGTCGTTGTTTAAAAGGGGACTCACATTCTAGAAAGGATTCAAAGGAAGGCAACACGCATGGCTCTCGACATGACTAACTTATCATACGAGGAAAGACTTGACAGTTTAAATCTCTCCTCCCTGTCATACCATAGGCAGAGAGGAGATTTAATCACAATGTTTAAAATTTCAAATAATGACTACGAACCTGGCCTATTCTCTCTTTTCATTCCCACCTGGTCGGAAAACCTCAGAGGACATAGCAGGAGAGTTCAGAAGCCAAGAAATCATTTTTCTGTTGAGTACTGGGTCTCACACTGAGTTGTTAACTCTTGGAACCGACTCCCAGAAGAAGTGGTGTCTCAAACCCTAACTGATTCATTCAAGAAGGGTTTGGGCAACTAGAAAAGGATTAACATAGGCTATTCAACCAATATATCTGAATCTGAAAGGTCATCAGTCCGTTTATTAGGCTGTTTGGTTTTCAGCCACTGTAGCTGGGAGTTACCAAATTCAGTGGAGAAAGTGAGAGTTGGATGGCAATTTGTGAAATTTACTTCAGCATTATTGCACGATTAAAGGGCTAACTTAACTGCAGTTAAATTTCATTTTGTGCTATGAACAGTTCACTATCTTGGCCTAATATACGCGAATTAGCTCAATGATTGCAGGTTTACCATAGCCGTTAACTATAAACTTAATAACTGCGAACTTCAGACTAAAAATAAGCTTATAGTAGCATCCAGTGACAGAAATTGACATAGACACATTAAAATACGCAAAATAGTCAAAAAAGAAACCTTTAAATTTCAATGGCAAGCGAATTCACGAAAACATACAACCAAACAACGCGGGAACACACCACAACCCCGAATCTGGAGACACCGTTCTCCTTGGATGAGACGCTCGCAGAAAAATATGACGCAGAGATGACCTTGCAAGAACAGATTTGCCTCTGTCACTAAAACAAAAAGATTCACAGTCCTGCATTAGCTTTTAAACTCTCCTACTATGTCTTCTGAGACATTGAGACTTAGACGGAAACCAATCGCATTACAATCAGATAAGAGGGAAGGGGCACTCCTATTGGTCATCCGTTGCCTCGTCTTGGGTAACCAATCCCTGCATACTTCGCAGCCAACCTGACAGTAGACAAGCATAGTTTGAACATTAGAAAACCGCCAAACTTACCATGCCTTACAATGCCACACACGTGTAACACCCGATGTAATGATATAAAAACTAACATGACATCACTAAATGAGTCTCCTGTTTCCTCTTTTTCAGAAAAGAACTCTGGCCTGGCCGTGCTGGAACAGGTGGAGGACCGTTTGTCTAACCTTTTTATAAATGACAATGATTAGCTTGTATCCGGGCAATTCGACCCCTACGTGCTGGAAATATAGACCTTCCTCTCGCATCTTCCTCTTCTTCCTTCGCTGATTGTGTCTGTTGCTTCTGGGTGTTACAATTGGTGTCGGAGGTGTCCAAAACTCAATCTCGAAATGAAATCAATTCTTCCGATCCTCCTGAAATCATCTCCACCCCAAAAGTCAACCCACAATGCCCAGCCACAGAACACATCTTACCGGTGCGAGGATTACCAACTTTGGACATAAACAGCGATTATGAAATGTGGAAGATTCGCATGGAGTCTCTCTTATCCGGTCTTACTCCACACGCACAATATACTCAGATTATGCTAGCAATGAGTGACACCGCACTACGCCGTGCTATCGCTGGGGGCTTCTCCGCGTCCAAACCCATCAGCTACAACTGGCATGTCCTCGGCGAATGTTTTGCCAAAACCTCCAGCCCTTCGGTGTACATGCACACCTTTCTCAGCCGCTGTCAAGAGCCCGGCGAAACAGCGTTCGATTACCTGCATCAACTCCGCGAGATGGCATCGCGCGCATTTCCCAACCTTCCCAACCCGAACCGAGATGATGTTATCTGTAGCCGTTTTGCCCAAGGTGTCTCATCATATGAGCTCATCATGCCGTTGGGACGGAATTGGAGGTTGGTTTGACGATGGAGCATTAGGCCGGCATTGTCGTGGTGCTGGGACGGTTGTTCTTCGCTCGGTGGTCCCGAGAGCATAGCAGGGCGTCCTGGCAGTTGAAGTGAGAATATGCTCGACGCTCTCGAATCGCTTTACCACCTCAATGGCCTCTGAGACTTATTTTGCTGGCTGGCGTATAAGTTGGCACTTGAGCTCATATGATGAGACACCTTGGGCAAAACGGCTACAGATAACATCATCTCGGTTCGGGTTGGGAAGGTTGGGAAATGCGCGCGATGCCATCTCGCGGAGTTGATGCAGGTAATCGAACGCTGTTTCGCCGGGCTCTTGACAGCGGCTGAGAAAGGTGTGCATGTACACCGAAGGGCTGGAGGTTTTGGCAAAACATTCGCCGAGGACATGCCAGTTGTAGCTGATGGGTTTGGACGCGGAGAAGCCCCCAGCGATAGCACGGCGTAGTGCGGTGTCACTCATTGCTAGCATAATCTGAGTATATTGTGCGTGTGGAGTAAGACCGGATAAGAGAGACTCCATGCGAATCTTCCACATTTCATAATCGCTGTTTATGTCCAAAGTTGGTAATCCTCGCACCGGTAAGATGTGTTCTGTGGCTGGGCATTGTGGGTTGACTTTTGGGGTGGAGATGATTTCAGGAGGATCGGAAGAATTGATTTCATTTCGAGATTGAGTTTTGGACACCTCCGACACCAATTGTAACACCCAGAAGCAACAGACACAATCAGCGAAGGAAGAAGAGGAAGATGCGAGAGGAAGGTCTATATTTCCAGCACGTAGGGGTCGAATTGCCCGGATACAAGCTAATCATTGTCATTTATAAAAAGGTTAGACAAACGGTCCTCCACCTGTTCCAGCACGGCCAGGCCAGAGTTCTTTCTGAAAAAGAGGAAACAGGAGACTCATTTAGTGATGTCGTGTTAGTTTATATATCATTACGCACGCCTAGAGTAGCAACATATTGAAAAGTAGCGCTCCCACACCAAGTGTTCAATGGCATGATTGTTTATCCAATATCCTGATTACGAGCTAGTATAAACCATTGATTTCTTTGAGCTTGGTTCTTGATTGTAAGATAGAGGTTCTAGATCTTTGGTGAACTGCGTAGTAAGTCTCGCCACTCGACTGCTTTAGCTCTGGTATACTCCAAGAGGAGTGGTGCGGGCATTGGTCAAGATGTGGTTTGTAGTATGCAGTGTGTTAGGACTGTGTTGCTGCTGTGAATGGAGTTTGACCTAACTCTCGTTGGTCATTCGGTGTAGTCGTAAAAGCAGAATAGTAATAATAATAGTTTGTAGTGCAGATAATATGGGTTGAGATAAGTGAAATAATAAAGGTGACCAAAGGAAAAGATAGAGTAGTCGGTACAGTGAGAGAATGCAGAACAGGTCGTGGGGATTTAGCTTGTATGCTTATCCATTGACAGTGTGGTTTTAATTTTTATGAGGATAAGCCATTGAGACACAAACCTTGCATTTCTACATGATTGTCCAGCTTCCGTTAAAAATCTCCACAGATGGTGTTGTAGTCACGGCCGCCGGTAAAGCGTTCCAGAGACGGCAAACTCGAAGCGAAAAGAAATGTGATCGCACTCGAGTCTTTGGTCTCTGGTGTGCTATCCTTAGCGGGTTACCTCGTAGAAGCCTATAATCACTTAATGGCAGGATGCTTTTATTTGGGTGGGCCCGGTCATTTGAGATCTTGTAGACGGTGATGAAGTTTCCCCTGTGCCTACGGTAACTAAGTGTGAAAAGACTTAATTTCTTCACTCTTTCCTCGTATGACTTGTTGCGGAGGCCGATCACCCATTTTGTCGCTCGTCTCTGGACACTTTCTAGAATTTAGCATCCCTTTTGAGTAGCGGAGGAGCAATGATATTACGCACCTCAAGGTGTGGCCTCGCATATGTCTTATATAACCTTAAGAACAGTTCCGGAGTAAGAGCCCCCAGCTGCCTATGCATAAAGTGTAAAGTTGCGTAGGCTTTGGCGACGTCCCTCATGTAATTTCCACTAGTGTCTAGCTTTTTCGTTAGAATAAGACCTAGATCGCACTCTGATGGAACACAACTCAAGTTCTGGCCACCAAGGGTGTAATTTACACTCAGTGACCTACCGGAATGAAGTTGCACTACTTTGTACCTCTTTAGGTTGAGAGGCATTCCATTAGCCAGAGCCCAGTCTCCCAGAGTTTGCAGGTCAGCCTGCAATCTATCTGAGTCTTCCGATGAGTTTATTGCTCTCCAAATCTTTACGTCGTTAGCGTAAAGAAGCGCAGAGCAGTTCAGTTGAGAGGGCAGGTCATTGATAAAAATCAAAAACATCAATGGCCCTAGGGTAGAACCCTGAGGAACCCCCGATGCCGAGGTGTGCCAGGATGATCGGATGCGGTTGACTTTGGTGCAGAATTCTCTCTCGCCTAAGTAATCTTCCAGCCATGCCAGAAGTGCTCCAGAAACACCCACCTCGCTTATTTTGAGAAGAAGCAGAGCATGGTGAACTGTGTCGAATGCTTCCGCAAAGTCGAGAAAGATCATATTGTTAGCTTGTATATATCGCATGTTGAGGACCCAGTAAAGAAAGAAATTCGAAAATTTTATTTCTATAAAAGATATGTAGATGAGATAATAGTCGTTAGTGATCAACCGACGGACGCCATAGAAATCCTAAACCAGATCAACAGAGCACAAAACAGTATATCGCTAACTTATGTTAAAGAGAATAATGGATGCCTACCATTTTTCGATGTACTCATAACCCGCCGAGAAGATGGGTCAGTAAAACGATCTGTCTACAGAAAGTCAACATGGACTGGACAGTATCTAAATTACCATAGTTTCTGTCCACTACAGTACAAAAAGGCGTTGGTCCCAAGTCCTATGTTCCACTGAGGACGTGAAGAAAAAATTCCGACTTCACAAACACACCTTAGCCTCATACATCAAAGAAGTTTATTATCTTAGTTTAAAATCAGAACAAGTTGTTCGGAAAGAAAGAAAACGGTCATCAATATTGTAATAGCTGTCAAAAATAATTGTATACAGTTAACTATGTATATAAGTATTGGTGAGTAATAATAATTGTCTAAACTTTTTTGGTGTACCAGTACACGTATGTGCATTGGTCATACCTAAACAACTATAACGGGCAAAAACAACGATAATATATACTGTCATTCGTTTGTTCACGAGGGATACGCTACATCGGTATGATAAATGTTTACGCTCAGTAAGAGTATTTACAAGATACCTAAAAGAAAAGGTGACGGAATAATGTCAGTAAACCCACTTTATATGGGATTAAGCAATTCGCATGACATAATTCTGCACATCTTTATTGTTTGAATTTAACGAATATTCGCCTAACAACTTAGGGCCGTGTTACATGTGGTAGATGCGGTAGTGAAAACTCGAGTCATTCGGTACTTGCTCTCAAATGAAATACTATCCCCACCTCAAAACGGTTTCTCAAGTAGAATGTCGTCCATCACTTGCCAATTAGACTAATTTGAACACATTACACAATGCACAGAAAGTCGGCATTCAGTAACAAAATTATTTCTCGACGTTAGCAAAGATTTCGATAAAGTTTCACATATCAGACTCCTAACAAAACTGATATCCAATGTAAAACTGGAAAGCTTCTCAAATGGACAAATTCTATCTCCACAGAAAGAGACACCCTGGATAAAAAATCAACCAAAACTATCTCCACCAAAGCCAATAAAAAGGTGCAAAACAAAAAAAATAACTTTGCACAATTTGAGGACATACTAAGCACAGAGAGGAAGAGTTGGATGGCAATTTGTGAAATTTGCTTCAGCATTATTGCACGATTAAAGGGCTAACTTAACTGCAGTTAAATTTCATTTTGTGCTATGAACAGTTCACTATCTTGGCCTAATATACGCGAATTAGCTCAATGATTGCAGGTTTACCATAGCCGTTAACTATAAACTTAATAACTGCGAACTTCAGACTAAAAATAAGCTTATAGTAGCATCCAGTGACAGAAATTGACATAGACACATTAAAATACGCAAAATAGTCAAAAAAGAAACCTTTAAATTTCAATGGCAAGCGAATTCACGAAAACATACAACCAAACAACGCGGGAACACACCACAACCCCGAATCTGGAGACACCGTTCTCCTTGGATGAGACGCTCGCAGAAAAATATGACGCAGAGATGACCTTGCAAGAACAGATTTGCCTCTGTCACTAAAACAAAAAGATTCACAGTCCTGCATTAGCTTTTAAACTCTCCTACTATGTCTTCTGAGACATTGAGACTTAGACGGAAAGGTAATACAAAATAGATCAGGTCGGTAGTTTGTGTTCGAAATTTTAAAAATCGTAATATGATCTCTGCTTACCTTTATAATAATAATATATTCTCATTTTGTACATGAGGGGCGCCAGTTTACAGGCATCATCAATATGATAAATTACATATATGGTTATTAAACATACTTTATAATAATGATTCAATAAAATACATATTTTTTCCTACCTGGTTAGAACACACCAAC